ATTGGGATTACATTTGCATATACGATGTACACTAAGCAAGTAGAGCTAGTAAGATTAACAGCATGCTAGTATTTTATGCTGAAGAGCTGTTTGTATGAAATTAGCCAAATTGTTTGTCTTCCCAAGTACCCTTTCGGTCTTAGCTTCTATGATTTGACCTTTTTGGACCCGATAACGTTTCTTCAATTAGGTGTATATGACAAGATATTCAAGCCTACCTCAACAGACATTGGAGACATGAATTGAAGAAAATCATTGACTTCGATCTCGCTTCGTTTGCTAATGATAATCTTATCCGTGTAGAACATGTAACCCACTGTCATGCCGACAATCTGCTCTCGTAATGTGGTTCTTGTTAGGTCACCGACAATCATATCAGCTTTCTGTCAAAGAAACAATGGCTCATTTAGAGCTGAGAGCCGAGTTGAGGGACATAATAAAGATAGTAACCACAAATCATTTAAATCTTTCGAACAATAGCTAACTARATAGCCGGCCTACTAACTAATTAATCAACCAACCTTTATTTATTCATTAAGCAGCTACAACGATASACACAAAAAGAGGTTACGAAACACTAAASTACACTACACTACAGTGCCCTGGATAACAAAGATTAARAAGGTCATTTTCTTTGTTATAACCAGCCTCCAACGCCTAGTTTAGGCATACAAATTTTACATATTTAAAATATATTATCCTATAATTACAACCAACCAACCTTATATAACCCACCAACTAACCAACCTACTAACCAACCAACCAGTCAACTTTAACCAAGCAATCTACTAACTAAACAACAAGCCTACTAACCAACCAACGTAATAACCAACAAACCAAATTAACCAATCAACCTACTAACCAACCTACCTACCTACTAACCAACCAACGTAATAACCAACAAACCAACCAACCAATCAACCTACTAACCAACCAACCAACCTACTAACCAACCAACCTACCTACTAACCAACCAACGTAATAACCAACCAAGCAACATACTAACCAACCAACCTACTAACCAACCAACATACTAACCAACCAACCAACCTACCTAATAACCAACCAAACTACTAATCAACCTAGTTACCTACTAACCAACCAACCAACATACTAACCAAACAACCAACATACTAACCAACCAACCAACATACTAACCAAACAACCAACATACTAACCAACCAACCAACATACTAACCAAACAACCAACATACTAACCAACCAATCTACTAACCAACCCACCTACTAACCAACCAACCAACCTACTATAACCAATCAACCTACTAACCAACCTACCTCAAACAACCAACCTACTAACCAACCAACCACCCTACTAACCAACCAACCACTCTACTAACTAACAAAAAAGCCTACTAATTAACCAACCAACCTACTAACCAACCAACCTACTAACTAACCAACCTACTAACCGATCAACCTACCTAGTACCTACTAACCAACCAACCAACTTACTAACCAACAAACAAACTTTTAAACCAACCTACTAGCTATCAACCAACCAACCTACTTATAACTAACCAACCAACCGGAAACGTAACTAACTTACCCATCAGTTCGATATTCTTGAAGAAGAGCAATAACAAAGCTCATTGACATACAAAGTTAACCACTGAAAACGTACCCYATCAATAAGACTTCCAATCATCCCGTCCCATGTTCCATTATATTCTGTTCCATATTTCCTATCAGGCTGCTCGAAGATTTCGTAAGTGAACTTCTCGTCAGCGGCAATCCGTTCGATAAGATCACCACAGAGTCCGTGGTAGTGGTCATCTCCGGCCCGAGGCCTAATTACATAGGGTGGATTCTGATGATATAGAGTTAACCCTGTTAACTTTTTGCATGCGCCGATGGTAAAGACAAAAAGACAAGAACAAAGTCATTCGTATTCATCATGTTTTCAAGTATAATTGCAAGAATATTCATTAAAACACATAAACAAATACAGGTAGAATACAGGTAGCACTGTTCTCTTGATGAGATACCCAATGGACTAGATCCAGAAGGACAACAGCATAGTACGGTGGGAACACTCCCTATCCGACCCTATCCATCGAARCCCCATGCACTTTCAGTTCAATTCAAGCACGTTAGGGCCACAGATCTTCAAAACATAATCTTCACACTTCATCGTCACATTCATGTGCGAATGCATGAATGATTAATCAATTATTAATCAATTATTTAATCAATAATCAATACAAAATGCATTAGGGAATTAATGATCTGAATTAAATATATTATATACACACCGGCACGACAACTACAGTAAGCTTTTTGCCTTGTAGTCCCTTTGTAACCGTTTGAGCCTCTTTGTTGACACTGATACTCTTGTTGAATTTTACACTGTTAGTTGCTTTTGTCCACGAACCAATCTGCAATTCAAACACATTCTAAAATCATATATAACGTTACTCGCACTTATCGGGTCACTCCGCAGKCGTCTCTCAGTTTCTTTCTCAAAATAAATGTGGGCTCCCTGCGTTAGATCAGTACGAGAGCAGGATTAGTAACGAGACCGASGAAAATGAAAGGTTAACGCCACTTCACCAAAAGGACACTCCTTTTTCTTTTTCCTTACCTAGTCCTCTCTTTCTTCTATATTTTTTTCACAGGGAACCCGAAATATAAAAAAAAACTGGAAGAGGAGGATGCCTGCGGGGCAGGCTAACTATAGCAGATTGTGAATGCATGGTGGCAGCACCACAAATGAACAAGACAACGTGGATATGGCTTCGTAAAAGCTGACTGTGCTGTCTTCTGCAAATGTTACCTCAACTAATGAGTCGTTTACTAAGTTTCTAATTATGAGCTTTTCCACCAAACGATTTCCGCTTTTGTCAAATGTCACGCCTTCAGAACCCTGGGGGAAAAAAGAAAAAAACTACCTTTAATAGAAATATRATATATACTTTCCATATTTGCCTCAACAATCGCGCATATTGGCAAAAGAAAAGTCCGTACTCCTGATGACGTCATGCGATGTTGAGCGAGATRAACTATGGGATTAAGCTTACCATATGGATAGTCCGTCCAAAATTGACCTAATTCTTGTCTTTTAGATATAAGTTTGAGTTCGCTTACTCGTGATATATCTATGGATCAACACTCGAGGATGAAATCCGTAACTACGCGCGCCCATACTTAATATCCTCTATTTATTATAATTGACTTTTCGCTGTGTTTCATGGGTTAATAGGGAACTTCAGATTTGGCAACGAGCACGAGATTGAGTACGAGTTTTAAAATTGGCCTTTAAAACTGAGTGTGCTACTAATGAATTGCATTCCTGTGAAGATTGAAACATCAAAGAAATAAAAAAAAGAATTCGTTTGAATTCCAGTCGTGAACAACACAATAAAAGCTGGTTTAAAAACTCGTACTCGCACTCAATCTCGTACTCGTTGTCAAATCTGAGTCTAATCTGAATAGACCTCTGAAGCTTTTAAACGTCACATACCGTATACGCAATGCATTGTAGGATATGTTTGGGACAAAACATGACGGATCTCTTACGTTTTCTTCAAAAACTGATCCCCCAAAGCACTGCAAATCACAAAGATCTCATAAAAGCTTCAGAAGTTTATTTTAAAATAGTACTAAATTCTACTGGTGTATGCAAATCCTATTTTTGTTGTTGATGTCTAATCCACTCCATTTGGCGTTGTTTAGTAAAATTCTTTTGGTAATTTTTCACGCTTTAGTGTG